CGCTTTGTGTCTCCCCTGCTCCTGAACACCCCCCACCCCATCCATCTACAGACCTACGGATCTGATTCTGAGGGAACCATAGGCCGGGGCCGTCTGATTGAGACTCCTACACAGCGTGTCTCTCACAACGCCTGTGATTTAGCCTTCGGGGACTCCCGTGGTCACATGGACACCTTCCTGTGGACTCAAGACCTCGACAAGCTTATAGACACTGAGTCCACCTCTCTGTCTTCTCCCTTGCGCATGTCTTCTTACCCTCCTGCCTTCTACATCTTCCCACCGGGCTCTTCCTTAACCAAGTCCAGTGACAAAGCCAAGCCCAAGCCCATCGGCTCAATGAAATATATGTCCTCCCCTATCACATCAGGGAAAACACCGTTCATTTGGGACAAGTCTAATAAGGTACCAGCCGAGCCGGCTTCAGCTCAGAAGGCCCCGGCTGCACCACGGTCAACCCGGAAGTCTTCAGCCAAATCTAGTCCCTTCTATAAGACCCCACCTTCTGGTTCCCAGAAGACCTCATCCGTCCCTGGGCCCCCCCGGAAGGCCCCGGTTCTAGTTACCCAACCCCAGAAAACTTTAACCCCAGTTTTGAAGCGTCCACAAGCACCTGCGGGTTCCCAGAAGGCTGTGCCCCCAAAGAAGGACACTCTAGTCCTAAATACTCAGTCTCAGGCTCCAACGGCCCGGTCTCAGAAAGCTCCCGACTCAGAGGCAAAGGCCCCTGTGGATCCTAGCATGGTACAGGCAGGAGATATGCTTGAGAGAAAGTCTGAAGGGAAACAGGCACCTGGGGTGTTGGGGGGAGAGCAGAAGAAGAAAGCGGTAGAGATGAAGACCACGTCCCCGCAGCTGCCCAGGACCACCACCAAGAAGCAATCCAAGGAGGTCTTGATTAGCAAAACCCAGGAGATCACTCTGGAGGCCTTGAAGGGCAGGGGCAAGTCAGAGGAGAGGGTCCAAAAGACGGAGAAGACAACTGTGAACTTGCCCGATCTGAAGTCCTTGGAGATAGAGAGTCAGAAGAAATGGGTCTTGACCAAGGAGGTAGCTGTTGAGGGCCCCTGCCTAGAGGACAGCAGGCCTTTCTCTGTGGAGGGGCTCGCCCTTGCCAAGATGATGATCATGGCCAACTCCAAACAGCAGCACCTGAAGCCAACTACCGTCTCTCTGCCCTCCTGGTTCTCTATGACTTCCAGGGCGTCTGCCATGTCTGTGTTGGCCAATTTGCCCTTTAACACCAGCCAGATGACCTTGCCAGAGAGGACACAGGTAGTGGTCAGGGAACAATCCAGCTCCTATACTAAGATGAGAGAGAACAAACCGCGCCAGATGGAGAAGAATCCACCCAAGGGCTCGCTGAAGATATCCAAGGAACCCACGGCTGAGCTGCCAAAGACTGTTAACATTAGCTCAAAGGTGCACGTCGCTTTTCAGCCTCCCGTCGCCGTGCCCATCTCAGGTTTGAAGGACACGTCCCAGCCACCCACAACCCTCACAGCTCCCATCTCCAGGACAGAGTCCTCAGTCAGGGTGCCCCCAAAGCCCGGAGTGAAACATCAAGGACTCAGGCAGGTCAAGCAGGCGAAAACCCAGCAGCAGCCTCTGGCTGTCGCAGGGCCAGCCTCAGAAGTTCTCCTTCCCATCACCCTGGAAATGGAGGATAAGAGGAAAACGGCCACGAAAGATGAGATGCCAGTGAAGAAAGCCGGCGCCCATCACGCTCAGGTATTTGGGATTCGCAGTGGCATCCACTGTCAACGCTAATATACATATGCGCGCGCGCACACACACGAGAGAGAGAGAGAGAGAGAGAGAGAGAGAGAGAGAGAGAGAGAGAGAGAGAGACAGAGAGAGAGAGAGACAGAGAGACAGAGAGAGACAGAGACAGAGACAGAGACACAGAGAGAGAGAGACAGGAGGAGGGAGGAGAGAGAGGTGGGAAAGGGGGGAGCAGGTTCTCGGGATTGAAATCAGACCATGTGTATGCTAAGTGAGCCAACCCATGACAAATGTCACTAGACATAGAGTAGATATGAAGTGTTGACTGTGTGGCGGGCATTGCTCTAAGCAATGGAGACACAACACCCAACAATAAGGGTGGCCGAAGTAGATTGTGCCACTTGGCACCTAGTGGTAGAGATAAGGCATGTTGCTAAAAATTTGCAATGCAGGGGACAGACCCCACCACAGCACAGCGGCCTAAGGTGGCCTCAGCCTCACAGCTGGAGTCATTTGTGTAAAGTCATGAAAGGTGGTTGGAGATGTAGCTCAGATGGCAGGGAACTTATGTAGCATGCACAGAGTCTTGAGCTTGAACTGCCCGACACTGAACACAACATGAAGGCAGATGGTGTGGGAGTCCAAGACCAGCCTTGGCTATACATAGTGAGTTGGAGACTAGTCTGGGCTACATGAGACCTAGTCTCAAAACAAAACAAAAAAGAGACCTGTGGGGGAAGATGGAAGCCCCTAGAGCATCCAGGGGGAGGGGACTTCCTGTAGAGCAGTGGTTCTCAACCTTCCTAATAGTGGGACCCTTTAACACAGTTCCTCACGTTGTGGTGACCTCCACCCATCAAATTATTTCATAACTGTAATTTTGCTATTGTTATGAATCGTAATGTAAATATCTGATATCACAACCCACATGTTGAGAACCATCGGTGGAAGGAACCAAGTCCCTGAGGCAGAAGCTTGCATGCTCACTGTACCTTTACCAAGTGTGCCCTACGCAGAGTCCTAACTCTGGAATGTTGTCAGGGGAGCCATTGGGTGTTGGGGATGTGGGGAGTGCGAGAGGGAGCCAATCACACAGAAGCTGCAGACAAGTTTAAGGATGGTGGCTTTGACTCTGAGCAAGCTGGAGGGTTGAGGCCAGAATAGTTGGAACTGATTTATGTGGAAAGGGCTCTCTGCTGGGCTCCAGAATGTAGAGGGGATGAAGGTGGGAACCGGGGAGTATGTGTATGTTGGAGGCCACCCAGGAGATGATGGTAGCTTGGACAAGAGGGTGTTGAGAAGCCTTGGAGTCCACAGACACTTTGAAGGGTAAGGTAACAGGGCTGCCTCATCAATCAGGCATATGACGCATAAGGAGCTATGTATTGGTTACTTTTCTCCATATTGTGACAAAATACCAGAGAAAAGAAGAGCTGGTTCCTTCTGGGGCACAGTGTGAGGGTACGATGCCATCACGGTGGGGGAAGTTCCTTCTTTGTGTGTGTATGTGTGGGGGTGATGGTATGAGAGTGCTGGCCTTTTGCATGCACGAATGGAAGACAGAAGTCAGCTTTGGGTGTCTTCCTCTGTGAAGACTTTCCCTTTTATTTTTTGAAACAGTCTCTTGCTACATTTAGAGCTTGTCATTTTGGTCTAGAATGGCTGGCCAGTGAACTCTGGACATCCACCTTTGCCCACCCATGTGTGCTGGGGTTACAGGAATGTGCCACCATCCCTTGGTTTTCCATGGGTTCTAGGGTCCCAAAGCCATGTCCTCATGTTTTCATGACAGACAATTTACCCACTGAGCCATCTCCTCAGTCCCATTTTCTCATTTTTATTCAGTCTGGCACCCCACCTATATTGAGAGTGAGTCTTCCCACCTCCATTAGCTCCTTACAGATGTGCCCAGAAGTTTGTCTCCTGGGTGGTTCTCGATCACATCAAGTTGACAATATTAACCATCCCCGATGTTGAGGGTGGCAGGGATGTTTAGCGCTTCGGAGACTTGCAGAATGCAAAAGCCCCAGGCAGCAGTGGGGGGCAAGACAGCAAATGGAGGGCTCAGGGAGGAGATTCTGAGATAGCTTGGGAAGATACCTGACAGGTGACGGGATGTGGGAGCCCAGCATTCAGGGGAAGTGGTTCGGGGGAACTGTGAGATGGGAGGAGATATCAGGAGAGGCAAAGGGAGTGGGGGGATGTAAGGTGCTTGGTAGAGTGCATGCCCCTGGGTTTGATCCTGGCACCAGATAAAACTGGGTGTGGCGGTACACGCTTTTGGTCCTAGCAGTCGGGAGGCAGAGGCATAGGATCAGGAGTTCAGGTCACCTTTGGCTATGTATCAACATCAAGGCCAGCCTGGACTACAAAGTGACCCTGGCTCAAACTGAGAAAGTAAGAGCCCTTGCGGTGGTGGTCCAGTGGGAAAAGTACTTGTCACCAAGCCTGGTGGCCTGCGTCATCCAGGGGACCCATATGGTGGAAGGTGAGAACAAACTTCCCCAAGTTGTCCTCTGGTGTACATAAGCATCCATGACATGTGACCCCTCTCCCCTTTAATCCCAGCACTCAGAAAGTAGCAGCAGGTGGATCGCTGTAAGTTTGAGACCATCCTGATCTACATAACCAGCACCAAGCCAGCCAATTTCCAGGCCACAGTGAGACCTTGTCTCAAGAAAAAGAAAACAGTAAATAAAAATTATCATATACCAAGGGAAAGAAACAGACCCCAAAGCCAACCAAATAAGATTATATTTCTATGAAATGTCCAGATATCCACGGAGCAGAAAGAAGACAGTGGTTTAAAAGAGCTTAGAGATGTAGGAATGGGAACGACTTCTAATGTGTTGGGAGGGGGGATGAAGGGTAATCAAAACAAATTGGAACTAGGAAGGAGTGATAAATATAGTGACCACGTTTTAAGGTGTAAATAACAGCTGTGATTTTTTTTTTTCTGTGCTCTTGGATACCTGTCTCTCTGCCAGTCCCCTAAAACGTTCTCTGCCTTTCTCTCCCGCAGTAAGCAGCGACCCAAGGATTTACGATAACATAATACAGGAGACTTGATCTATCAACAAGTTGTCCAGAAGCCCAGTGGGGCCAGGTACCCCTGAGACCCGGAAGATCTGGACCTGGAAGAATATGGGTCTCAGGAACCAGGAATCATCCTCCCTTTCCTCCTTCCCTCGCAGGCCCACAGGGTGCTGTGCACCCGGACTGTAAGATGCGGACTACTGAGAACACCGTGTGTGGTGTGGTGGGGAATCCTCCCTCTCCCGTAGAGACCAGAGCTAGATATACGTTTATATATTGGGGAGGGTCGGGCGGGGCAGACGTCAGGGAGAAGCTCAGCTTTGCAGGGATTAAAAGTCTTAGTCTGAGACTCAAAAGCCCAGACTTGGTGCCTGTTAATGTGCGTGCGCTCCGAGCGCACGGGTCCCCCGCAAGGGGCGTCCCGCAAGGAAGAGGGGGAGGGGCGTCCGATGACCCCACCCCCACATTACAGAGGGATCCTATTGGCTGGGACTCCCTGGGGGCCAGCCAATCCGCCCTGAGGGTCGTATTCTTCCTGCGCCTTGGGGACCAGCCCTCACTCTTCCAGCTAAGCGCAGCGGTGGACCACCCCCGCAGCCCTGCTGTCCAGCTTCGTTCGTCCTCATCAGTCTGGTGAGGGCAAGGTGGGCTGGGTTTAGAGCGGGTCAGGAGCTGGGGAAGGTCGGAGTGAGGGGCGCCCCTTAGGCCCCACGGAGCCCCGCACCCCTTCCTGCAGATGCCGACCTTTCCGTGGATGTTGGATGTTGAAGCCCAGATGCCCCCTCCGGGCGAATGGAAAACGCCCCCCTTCGACCCGCGCTTCCCTAACCAGAACCAGACGCGTAACTGCTACCAGAATTTTCTGGGTGAGACCGTTTGGGCCAGGTTAGAGGGGAGGCCCCCCACCTGGAGACCCTCGGAGACCGTTGGAACGGGAGGCGAGGTCGTGGCCCGCAGGGGCGGGGCCTGCACCGAAGTGGGTGGGGCTGAGCCGTGGTGGGGGCGGGGCCTGGAGTGGAGGAGGCTGCCTGTCTGGAGGCAATGTTTGCCGGCTTGGAGTGAAATGGACTGAGCCAGGAGGGATGGAGCCTTGTCAGTAAAGGGCAAGGCTAGGAGTGAGGGGACTAAGTCATGAGAAAAGGAGCGGGGCCTGAGTTGAAGGGAGGCCCCTGATCTGGAGCTAGCTGGAACTGAGTCCTGGAGGGCCAAGATGAAGCAGACAACCAGAAGGAACCGGAGGACCTCGCCAGGTGGTAGAGCTCAGTCAAGATGGGAGTTTGTCGGGGGCAGTCTGTAGTGGAAAGGAGGAGCCCTGTTGGTTGGCACTGAGTCCTGGAAGGGAGGGCGACCGTAATAGGGTGGAGCCAATGTCTAGAAGGGCGTGGTGTGGCATGTTCGTGACTGGGCGTGGCTTGCACCCCCACCCCGAGGCCCTCTGCAGACTACCACCGGTGCGTGAAGAACATGAGCCACCGCGGGAAGAACACACAGCCCTGCGAGTACTATTACCGCGTGTTCCATTCCCTGTGTCCCATCAGCTGGGTGAGAGCCGGCCTGAGGGCGCAGCAGGGCTGTTGGAGAGGTGTGGTGGGCTCAGACACAGGCTGAGCAGATGCTGGGGTCCCCTCTGCCGCTCCAGGTGCAGCGCTGGACCGAGCAAATCAAGCAGGGCACTTTCCCGGGCAAAATCTGACTGTGCACTTGAGCGCTGCTCCCCTGGAGGCATCAGCCCCCAGTGACCTCCGTCCTCTGACCAAGCCCCACTCTGTCTCTACGCCACAAATAAAGTTATGGTGCTGCTAATGTTTGTTTTCTTTCTTTTTGGTTTTGTGTTTTTGAGACAGAGTCTCTCTCGCTAACCCTGGAACTCACTGATGAGCTAGACGAGCTGGGATCCTCTTGTCTCCGACTCCCCAGCACTGGGATTACAGCCTCGGCTTCTGCACCAGGCTTTTTATGTGCATGCTGGGGATCCAGACTCAGGCCGTCATGCATGCTTGGCAAGTGCTTCCCGGCTGAGCCCCCTAACACTGCTTCTTTTGGTCATGAGGGCAAGGAGAGGGATTGCTGCCCCAGAGTTAAGGCAGTCACGGCTCCCAGGCAGGCAGAGAGAAACAAGCTTAGGGGTTCTTGAGTCCTGCCGTGATCATGACGTCAAGGGCTCAGCATTTAAGGTAGCCCATGCCTTTAGTCCAGCGCTCCAGAGGCAGAAGCACGTTGACATCTGTGAATTTGAAGCTAGCCTGGTTCTACATAGTGAGTTCAAAGCCAACCAAGACTACAATGAAACCCTGACCAAAAAACAAACCAATAAACAAAAAATCACAACCAAGACTCTTCCACCGACAGGGTCCCAGGGTATCTTGTCTGTCAGTCATCACACCTCCCTGTTACCTTTCTTCAAATGCCCACATCTCAGCCTCCTCCCCTCCTGCCAGGGCCGTCTTGGCTATCATATCCACCCATCCAGCCCCTGGTCCTGAGGAATCTTCGTTCCATGACCCAGTGCTGACCCACTAGTCCCCGACCACCCTGCTCTGACACTTACCTGTCATGACCTATCTCCACAGGTCCCATTCCCCTCCAAACACACCCTGTCCCCACCACAAGAGCCCTCTTGTCCCAACAGAGACTTCTCCATCCTTCAGCAGCCCCACAGCCTGGCACAGCAGCATCCTCTGATTTAAAAAAAGCTGTGTATGACTAAGATATTCACGTATGTACATACACCCGTTGAGTGACTGGTGCCCATGGAGGCCAGAAGCCGGCCTTGGGTCTCCTGGAACTTAGAGCAGCAAATGTTCTTAACCACTGAGCCATCCCTCCAGTACCTACCCCCTTTGATTTCTAATGCAGGTCTACCCTGTGCTCATCTGGGGCCATCTGTCCCTTTCTCCATAGGTGACACTTGTGATTCTCCTACTGACCCCTTCAGCACACTCCACACTTCCGTCTTAATCTTTCTTCGCTCTTTCCCATCTTTTCCAGTCAGCAGCCAATCACTCTGGTTCCAGAAACTCCTTGGCATATCTTCCAAACATAAGGAATTCCATCCTCCTCTTTATGTAGCCCTGGCTGATCTTGAACCCACAGAGATCCATCTACCCATGTCTGCCTCCTGTGCATCACCACCCTGCCCGGCTAACTCCATAGCCCCCTTTTTAAAATGTATGAGTAGGTGGGTGGGTGCTGGTGAGAGGTGGCCATCAGATGTCCGAGAGCTGTAGTCACTGGATGGAGAATGTAAGCAGCCCGACGCCAGGTCCTCTCGAAGAACGGCAAGCACTAAGCCACTAAGCCGCCTCTCTATCCTATGTCACCCTGTTTGCTTGTTTATTGTTTTGAGATAGGTCTCATGTAGCCAGGATAGCCTTGAACTCTCAATCCTCCTGCCCCTATTTCCCACGTGTTGGGACTACAGCCACCAAGCCCAGCACCGGTAACCCTTAACAGAGCCAGAGGCCTCTAGGTTGGCTGTGCTGGCCCCTGCTGCTACCCACAGCTACCAGCCTCCTGGCTGGACCTGAAATCATTTTCAAACTCTGTCTTCGAAGGCCTCACGTGACTACATTTAACTCCTAGGTTCAAAGTAACTTTGATTACATATGTCAGCTTCCTGAATGACCAACCTCAGTTTCCCCAGCTGCCTCAGAGTCCCGTTATCAGAAGCAGAATGGGGTGGGGGGGGTGGCTGAGCTCGAAGGACTGGCTGGTCCCACCCTTGGATGACCTGTCTACCACCTGCCCCATAGGCTGCTCACCAAGGACACACCCCAGATGGCCTAGCATGACTACGTCTAGACCTTGGCCTCAGACTGTCTCACCACCACCTGAGAGGGAGGGCATGGTGGAAGCACAGGGCGAGGACAGGGCTACAGGAAGACACTGGCCACCCACCATCCCCGCAGGCCATACTGCTGACAGGACAGCCGCTGACCAGAGACACTGTCATGGGGAGAGGTCAAATGCTGCCGGAGGGCTAATGACGTCACCTAGTTAAGTGGCTGGAGCACAGGCCCATTGGCTGTGCAGCCACCTTGGTCCTGCCCGGAGACCTGGGTCTGGAGTCACTGTTTCCTCCCAATGTCCAGCCTTCCTCTACCTCTTCTCCTTTTCAGGTCCCTAATCCTCCCTGCCATTGTCACTTGACTACTTCCTGTCTCTTTCCAACACTTGGAAAGGCCAGACTGGCTTCAAACTCTCCTCCAGCCTCTTCCCGCAGGCTCCCGAGGATCGGGATTACAGGTGTGCCGCCATCCTAGGCCTCACACTCCTGGGCAGCTTTGCCCAGGCTTGAGCTATGTGAGAAGCCAGACCATACCTTGCCTCTAGCCTGTGAACCATCCCACCACAAACTCAACCTCTCTCTCTGGGCCCCCCAGCTAGTGTTCCCCACCTACACCCCTGGGGCAATTTCCCAAGATCCCAGGGCCCACTCAGCTCTTCGCAGCCTCCCCTGGCCGTTTTCCTCTTTCCTCCAGCTCTGTGGTTCCTTCCTGGGCAGAGGTGAGGACCTCTCTGCTGCTCTCCGTGCTGTTCTGCCCGTCCTCCTAGACACCGGCTCTCCCTACAGCGGGCTATGGCTCCTGGAGTCATCTGGTCAACCTCCAAGGTTGAAGGGGAGAGACAGGGTGGGGACAGCCCCACTGCGGCAGCACCAGCTTCCACACTGGCTCTCTTTATTTCTTGGTTATTTCTCTTCTTTCCTGAGACAGAGGATTAAACTTAAGGCTTGGTACTTGCCAAACAAGCCCTCTGCCACTGAACTACACCCCCAGCCTTTTTACCTCCTAAAGCACAGCAGGGAGTCTGAGGCCACGTGGGCTACCAGAGACTTCCTCCGCCCTCACCAGGCAGGGCTGGGTTTCTGGACTCCATCGATGTCATCTCCCCGGAACCTGCTTTTGCACAGGCCCCACAACTCCCTGCCCCCAAAGAGGAGGATGATGATGATGATGATGATGATGATGATTGATTTCCTACAGTCTAGAAAGCCTTGGCTGGCCTGGAACTCCCTGTGTGTCTACTACAGCCTAGACTTGAACTCAGACATCCGCCTGCCTCTGCCTCTTGAGTGCTGGGATTAAAGGGGTGTCACCACCCCAGGCCCTGCACTAGCGGTAAGGGCACCTGGCTGAGAAGTGAGAGGGACAAGTCCCTACACGGCCTCAGGCAAGCCACTCTGCTTCCTGTCACCAGGCATCGCTGATCTCACTTTCCCACAACAGAGAATGCACCTGGTCATCTCCCATAAGCACTGTTTTTGTGGTCACCGGGCTTTACCTCAGTACAGCCGTCCCCAGAACCCACCGCCCTCTCCCTTAAGGCTTGTCAGGGTAGCTATCAGTGTCCAAGGCACGGCCGTCATCTCCACCGCAAGGCTGAGATCTCACCCTCCCACTGGATATCCCCCTAAAACATCCAAAACTCCTAAGGGCTTAGAAGGTTTTAATAAAAAGTTCAAGTTCTTCCAATCCCCTACCATACCCCATTCTGGTGTGGGGAGGAGAGGGAGCCTCCCCACACCCCAGTAGCACCAGGGATAGCACCGTGAGAAAGATGAGGTCATACCTGGCCTCCCTGAGACCCATGGGGCGGGGCCAAGGATGTGCCCCTGGGTACCACCCACCCCATCTGACTGCCCCTGCCTCCAACAACTGCAGAGCTGAGCCAACCCACTCCCCATTGTGGGGGCAGCTTGGGAGGGCAAACTCCCAAGTCAGTTCCACCTCCTGAGGCCTGAGCTTCTAGAGAGTTGCCATGGAGAGGCCCCCCACCCCTTATGGCTTTGCTCCCTGGGGAGAAGAGGCTGAGGGGAGGGGGGTGGCTCCTACAGTCCTGAGGTGGGGGCAGGGATGGGGAGGGGGACATCAAATGGCCAGGGCTCCCTGCTTGGGTGGGGTTGGCTCAGGGGTCAGCAGTCATGGAGCAACAAGGATCAACTCCCTAGGGATGTCCTAAAAAGCACACTCCCAGGATCAGACCTGGGTCAAGGGTCAACTCCTTCCTTCCTTCTGGATGGGTCCAAGACAGAGACTCTGCACTCCAATCTGGGCTCGCTGCAGGCAGCCCATCATGGCTCACCACTGTTGATGTCCAGATCAATGGAACCATGACTGACCACTAGCCGGAGGCGCTTAGGTGGGCAGAAAGGAGCGAAGGCAAGGGCCTGCTTAGGGACGAGGTCAGGGGTGGGGACTGGGGCTGGGCTCCCAGCAGGGGCAGGAGCAGCTGGTAGGGCTGGAGCTAGACGGGTAAGGTCCACACGCACCACAGAAGGCAGCCCATAGCGCCGGGCCCAATACCAGTCCTGTTGAAGGGTCCAGCGGCTCTTGGGCAGCACGTGGAGGGCCACCGTGGCCTCAGCCCGTAGTTGGCAGTGGGGACCACAGCCTCCCCATCGGTGTAGGGAGACAGAGACAGCATGGAGGGCCGGGGGCAATGCGGCTGGGCGGGTCCTGGGGCGGCGGCGCTTCCGGAGACGTACTCTGGGCTGGGGCTGAGGCATCCACTGGAGCCAGAGGGGCAAGGAGTCCAAGTGGGGGCTGGCAGGCAGCAGGCATGGGGTCTGGCAGGCAGCTGTGGCGGTCAGGGGAGAGGGAGACAAAGGGAGCCGGTCAGCAGGGTCTGAGCAGTCCCTCCTCCTCTGGGCAGTTCAGAAAAGAGTGGCCGGAGGCTAGAGAGCAGGCTCACCACAGAATGGGTCCCGGCGGCAGCGGCGGCGGCGGCGGCGGCGGCAGGGCAGTGGGGACAGGTGGGAGCAGGCCCGCAGGCCCAGCAGGCCCTGCTGGCTGCTGTCCAGG